CATAAAACAGTACAAGCCAGTCTAAGTTTCACTGAAAAGACGGTTTTGTCATTGCTCATGAATATTAATTAATGATTTTCAAGCCATGACATGATTGGTTGAAATAATCGTACATTTGCACTAATTAATATTAATGGTGATTTTTCAAAACCAGCACATAAAATTACGTACCATTTTACGCTAAAATAATGAGGATTTGGTTATAGTGGTGTTCGACTGTTCGGCGAATATAACGAGAAGTCTGGTACGCGATGTGTCCGAAAAGTTGAATGCGCATACCCCGTCTATTTTATAGTCCTTTAGCGAAATTTCTCATTTATAAATTATAGCGGGACGCGCACGCGATCGTGGAGCGCAACCGTTCTTCGTCGGTGGCGGCGCTGTTAAATATCTATTACGACTTTCATGTTGATGATAAATTACGGCTTTCTCTATCTGTCCAATATGTGAAGATTCGGCGAAGAAATTGAATAGAGAGAGTATGACGCAGTATCCATTTAATGTGTATTATTTGATCACATTATTTTATTAATTATTATTTCACTAATTACCTATGGAAACCGGCACACTTACATTTACGTCATTCCACGAATTTTCCAAAGTAGAATGTATCAGTGATCTAATACTTTTGCCTAATGTCCTAACTCCTTGGTATATTTTATCGTCCTTTAGCAGAAATTCTCTTTTATAGCGGAACATAAACGCGATTCGTCGGTGGCGGCGCTGTTAAATATTTTTTACAACTCTCACGTACGCCGCTATTGATAACTTACGGCTTTCTCTATTTTTATCCAATTTTATCAAATCGGTGAAGAAATTAAATATAGATATAATGGCACAGTATCTAGTTTGTGCGTATATTTATTACGCATCGTAATCTATTAATTAATACATTAATAGCTAGTTACGAGTGGAAGCCTTGGCATGCCACTAGTACAACTACATTACATTTATCTTTAAAAGCTGAATATATCACTGATCCAACACTTTTTTCTAACGCCCTTGCTTAAACGCAATAAAATCACGTGTAGAATGCACTCCAAACAAGGAACTAGCAGCGTAAACTGATGGTAGATTTACGCAATTTAAGTTTCATTTATCATGATTCAGTAAAGAAATCACTGAAACGATTCGTAAAATACGTGCATATCGATGTCTGACTTCAGTAAATTGTGACTGAAAAACCACTCTGTAAATTGTACGAGAATAAGGAGGTAAGGAAGAAAAAATAGAAACTAAGCGATAAAAACTATACTCCAAAAAATATACTCCAAAGTAAAAACAATAATTTTTATCATTATGCACTTTCTCTATCTATTATCAAGCTAATATTTTGCACGCACAAATCACGTGATTTCCAGATGGTCGACATTGCTTAATTGCCATGAAAATACGTGTAGTTATGTTTTGGGGCAGACGCGCTCACTGGCCGATGGCGGCACACATTATTCAAACACTAATTACTAATATTGCGCAGCTCCATTGACAATTATAGTCTTTAATAAAGTTCAATCGGAAATGGGTGAACTTGACTAAAGCATTAACCTTTTTTTTCTCCTGAAATCCTGGTCTATTTCAACATTCACGTATCATGCTCAATGGAGAATGATAGTTTGGAGTGGAGATTCAACACACTATATATTTTACTGCGTCATATTATTTAACGAGGCTTACGTCAACAGTGGTTGGAATAGTGAATGCACGCTACCGAGCCTTGTTGACTAATATCTGACTTTGTCTCAATAGTCAATTAGCACATACCTAACATATCAGTACACGTTTTTGGTCTTGTAAAGAAAACGATGTTGTTTTTAATGTTGTGTATATATAACCTGTTCGATGCATGTATTGGTATTTTAATGAGGTGTAGCCACCAGTTGGACAGACAGTCGTATCTTTCCATTATTTTGTTCACATATATCAGCGAGATGGTATCTCCGACTATACAAGGCACTATGCTGCTTGCTGTTTTCCTATGTTTAGCTATTAGATTTTCACTACCATTGGAACAAGATGGCGTAACACAGGTAGGTGTCCGAGTGTACTCAATATTGTGAAGTTTGCAATTTCTGTTGATAGTAAATAATAAGAGTACCATAATGTAATTGTGTAGTCTGCAGGCTGAATCGTTGTTTACTTACTTATTTAACAGGGGCTAACAAAATAGTTGCAAAATTAAAAAAGAATCATATTAATAAATTAGAAAAAAAAACATGGTTAGTTGGTAAAAAAAAGAAACAAACAAACAGACAAAAATCTTTCTTGTGTTCCATAGATTGATGATGAACACAAAACTGTCTCTTGAATTTCTTTGCACCACATTATTAAAACAAGGGCATATACTTCTCAACATTTACCCATTTATTGATAATTAAAAAACGGTTTGAGAACGTTAACGACCTGTTTGGAATATTATTATGTTTATTGCAAAACAAAAGGCAATTGACCAAAAGAGCAAATGCAATTTCATTTAACGGAATTAAGTGCATACAATGATAACAATGAAGTTCTGCTTTTTGTGGCGAAATGGAAAAAAAAACTAGCTAACTGGTTTAAATTGGTATCATTTCTTGAACTCATAAGGGATATAAATTTGTTATTGGGTTAGTGCAAAACCACACGGGCAAAACACTCTGTTCCAATACTATGATAACGAGAGCATATAGCTATAAAATGATATTCGTTCTCAATATAAATTGATTGCGTTCAACAGAGTATTCACAAAATCTATTATCAAGGGGCACATCTGCATGCCTCCCCTTTCAATACGCAAATTGTGAGACTAATAGCGTAATCAAACAACGCAACTATAAATTTGAAAACATGGATACAAGACAAATATTCTTCTTGACCAAGTGATGACGGAGTTTGAAAAAGGAATAAGCAGTGTCGTCGTGACAGACGTGTTGCACACAATCTGTACTTCTCTGTGTGGACTGTAAAAGATGCGCGGCCGAATCCAAAGCGAAACAGCAAGCTTTTTATATTAAACGTCCTATTACCGACGTCATAATACGTTGATCGAATATTTTTTTAAATAACATTTATGAGGAAATCTATTAGCCCCCATCTGTAATAATTTCAGCCAGTAGCTAATGCATCTTTTAAAGTAGATAACATAGAGAGGAAAACGACCACATTCGCCAACAGCTGATAAATCGCTTGAGTTATTACTTACACCGAGTAGAAATTTACAAAATTGATTCTGAACCCCAGATTTCACTACCATATAACAAGGTTGGCACAATGATGGAATTAAATTATTTATATGAATCAGACATAGTCATGCCACCTAGTTTTCGAATCAATTCTTTGAGTTGAAACATTGCTGTGTTTTTTTTACTCTGTGCTGATTGGTTTAACCAGGTCGGATTCCAACTTAGTCTGGATGAAAATAATACACCAAGATACTTGTACTGAGGGACGATTTTAATTTCATGATCGCGATAGAACCATTTTTCACCTTGTTTTAGATAACCACCCTTGCAAAAAACAATTATCTGTGTTTTGTTCATGTTTAGAGTTAGACACCAGTGAAAACAAAATTGGTGCAAAATTTATTTGTCGTAAGTATGTATTGGCATATCAGAATTCACGGCTACGTCATCCGTGTACATCAAGATATGACATTTTTGAAGATCTTTATCAATGCAAACACTCTCACGTCCAG